TCAGGGGTCACAAAGTATTTCATTATGTTTTCTCATATTCTTTTCTGACAGTAATTTTACCAAATAATTCAGCTAGTTGTATTTTTGTAAAAACTGATTTTTTATTGCAGGTTTTACTATATATATATATATATATATATACACTATATTGCCAAAAGTATTTGCTCACCTGCCTTGACTCACATATGAGCTTAAGTGACATCCCGTTCCTAATCCATAGGGTTCAATATGACGTCGGTCCACCCTTTGCAGCTAGAACAGCTTCAACTCTTCTGGGAAGGCTGTCCACAAGGTTTAGGAGTGTGTTTATGGGAATTTTTGACCATTCTTCCAGAAGCGCATTTGTGAGGTCGCACACTGATGTTGGACGAGAAGGCCTGGCTCTCAGTCTCCGCTCTAATTCATCCCAAAGGTGTTCTATCGGGTTGAGGTCAGGACTCTGTGCAGGCCAGTCAAGTTCATCCACACCAGACTCTGTCATCCATGTCTTTATGGACCTTGCTTTGTGCACTGGTGCACAGTCATGTTGGAAGAGGAAGGGGCCAGCTCCAAACTGTTCCCACAAAGTTGGGAGCATGGAATTGTCCAAAATGTCTTGGTATGCTGAAGCATTCAGAGTTCCTTTCACTGGAACTAAGGGGCCAAGCCCAGCTCCTGAAAAACAACCCCACACCATAATCCCCCCTCCACCAAACTTTACACTTGGCACAATGCAGTCAGACAAGTACCGTTCTCCTGGCAACCGCCAAACCCAGACCCGTCCATCAGATTGCCAGATGGAGAAGCGCGATTCGTCACTCCAGAGAACGCGTCTCCACTGCTCTAGAGTCCAGTGGCGGCGTGCTTTACACCACCGCATCCGACGCTTTGCATTGCACTTGGTGATGTATGGCTTGGATGCAGCTGCTCGACCATGGAAACCCATTCCATGAAGCTCTCTGCGCACTGTTCTTGAGCTAATCTGAAGGCCACATGAAGTTTGGAGGTCTGTAGTGATTGACTCTGCAGAAAGTTGGCGACCTCTTCGCACTATGCGCGTCAGCATCCGCTGACCCCGCTCCGTCAGTTTACGTGGCCTACCACTTCGTGGCTGAGTTGCTGTCGTTCCCAAACACTTCCATTTTCTTATAATACAGCTGACAGTTGACTGTGGAATATTTAGGAGCGAGGAAATTTCACGACTGGATTTGTTGCACAGGTGGCATCCTATCACAGTTCCACGCTGGAATTCACTGAGCTCCTGAGAGCGACCCATTCTTTCACAAATGTTTGTAAAAACAGTCTGCATGCCTAGGTGCTTGAATTTATACACCTGTGGCCATGGAAGTGATTGGAACACCTGATTCCAATAATTTGGATGGGTGAGCAAATACTTTTGGCAATATAGTGTATATATATATATATATATATATATATATATATATATATATATATATATATATATATATATATATATATATATATATATATATATATATTTATATATATATATATATATATATATTTTTTTTTTTTTTTTAAGGAACAGTTTTATTATTTTTTTTCATTATTATGGTCTTAAATCTGGAGTAGTCCCTAATTTTTTCATATTTTTGTTCAAAGAAGGCAGACATCTTTGTAGCCATCTAAAGCAGCCTTAACCAATAGAAAAGCAGACTTTTTCAGAGAAGCACATTTTTAATAATCCAGGCATAAAAAAACCTTTTAACCTTTTGGAAAAACACAGATAATGCAATCAGAACCAATATAAATAGGATTTGAAGGCCCTTTAATCCTATTAGCCCGTCACAAATCTATTGTTTATTCCCCTTTCTTTGGATTAATTTTTTTTTAAATACAGCAAAACCTGAGACATTTAGTATTAAGTTAAATGAAATATGGTGATAATTTATAATAAATATGAACATCATCAAGGTTTAGTTCAAAAGTACTGTGTTATGATTCTGCCCTTTCTGGACTTTTTGATTCTGTTTGTTTTCTTTTTGAGTTTTCAGTTCCACTTTGATTCATGTAATTCTTGTTTTTCTAGGTTTCATTTCCATTTTGTGTCATTCTAGTTGTTTTCTGGTTGTATTTGAATTCTTATGTATTTCTTGTTTACTCTCTGTTCGCCCCCCCCCCCCTTGTCAGCCTCCTTCTCCCTACCACCCTTCTAGATCCTTCATTCCACACCTGCTCGCAATTAGTTGATTACTCCACTCTTTGTTATGTTTTCCATTGATACTCCTCCTCTGCAGTTAATGCTTGCTGAATTTTCTTTATTCCTTCCCTAATCTTTGTGTCCCCATTTGTTCTGGTTCCTCCGTTACTCAATATATAATTTCTGTATTTATTCCTCTCTTGCACCCCCTCCTTGTTAAATCTGCAAGAAACCACCTCAGCTTCCGTCTCTGCATTTGGGTCCTCTACCCACTTTCACACAACCTGAAACTCTGAAATCTTGTATGATTATCAAACCTCACATTACCCTGGTGTTTGCCACTAATAGATGATGTCTTTTTGACAGAAAATACCCCACTGCTGAGTCCAGAGATGACTGGTAAGAGTACATTTACCTTTTTTGTATGTTTAAAACAAAGAACACAGTGATTGTGACATGTTTAATGGAGCATAATCTAAGCAAAGAGAACCAGACCAAAACTCCAGACCTGAAGAAAACATCACAGATAAGTGTTGGAGCTGGGCAACATTTCACAAAGTGGGACAAGTTAGACTTTGGAATAAGTTTGGGGATAAATCCTTTAACGCTCTGTATTTTCAGTTTCAGAAAGCCAGATGGCTATTATCCAGAGAAAAATTTACCCCCCCGTGGTTACTCTTTCAAACAACTCTGATCAGTCGCCAGGTTTCCTGAAGTTATCCTCAGTCTGTTCCTCATTTGAACTGAGGTTTCTGTGATGGCATGTCTTTTACTGCAGGAGTCTGTATATCATGGAGCCAATGCTCATTATGCTTCATACGATTTGAGGCATTTTTCATATTTATTCATTGATCTCTGGGAATAGATTATTGTCAGCAGAGAAAATAATCTCAATAAAAGCTTGGCCACATATCACTCATTTGACACAAGAAGTTCTTTGTGCTGCACTTAATTTTGATGCTGAATTCAAACAATTGGGGATAATTTTAAACCATTACCATACATTTAAAGCAAACAGACAAAAAAGAGAAACCAGGATCCAGTGATACTACAGGTTCTGTTGATATGGAGAATAAAGAAGGGGAGATTAAGCTAAAAAGATTTAACTCTAAGTTTCATTGTTGTGTTTCAGGTTGCTCCTTCAGTTTCATTCTGTGGTCTTTCCTGAATTAACAGTTTTTTGAATAAATTGAAAATGAATCCCAAAGCTTTTTTAATGTTTGTTAGATTAATGACGACAATCAGTGGCATTCAACTAAATCTTTCAATTTATGCGAAAAAAAAAAAAAAAAACTCCAACAGCACATTTATCAGAGATACCTTAACAAAGTTGAAGTAAAACATCTGTAAAACAACTTAGGTTCAGCTTTCTAGCCTCTAAACTTAGAGCTGCTAGAAATTCAGACGAGGCCTGGAACAGCACTGAGGATGGGACGTAGCTGGTAGCTGCAGCGTTTCCAATAAGGTTGAACTACAGGAAAAGGCAGAGCAACAAACTTCTGAGGAGACATGGAGGTAGAGGGATTAGATTCTGTTCTGGCAGCAAGTGGAGAGTGAGGCAGGTATATAACGGCAGAGAAACAGTTACTTGGAAGAAGAAGTGGCAGCAGCAGGAGTGCATGGTGCTGACTGTTGGGTGGGAGTGACCTGAGGAAGTGCACCTTGGAGCACTTCCTCAGGTCAGTGAGAGTAATTAGCTTAAGCTTACACAAAGTAACGAGCAAATGTCCAGAGTCTTTTCTCATTTTTTATATTTTAATTCAAAGGAAACTTCTTTTTAGTTCTCTGAAGGATGAATCAAGGATCTTTATTGTACTGAAGTATCCTCCACTGAGCATGAGCCTATGAATATATTATCATCACAGGATGCGTTACATTGGTTTAATTTTTAATCACAGTAAAAACTTATACTGATATGTTTCATCAGCTGCTGAGAAAATGGTAGAAACCAAAGTGCAGCCAGGATCCAGTCAGACTGCAGATTCTTCTGATGAAGAGAAAAACGAAGGTGAGATTGAGCTACAAAGATTTAACTCTAGCTTTCATTGTTGTGTTTCAGGTTGCTCCTTCAGTTTCATTCTGTGGTCTTTCCTGAATTAACAGTTTTTTGAATAAATTGAAAATGAATCCCAAAGCTTTTTTAATGTTTGTTAGATTAATGACGACAATCAGTGGCATTCAACTAAATCTTTCAATTTATGCGAAAAAAAAAAAAAAAAAACTCCAACAGCACATTTATCAGAGATACCTTAACAAAGTTGAAGTAAAACATCTGTAAAACAACTTAGGTTCAGCTTTCTAGCCTCTAAACTTAGAGCTGCTAGAAATTCAGACGAGGCCTGGAACAGCACTGAGGATGGGACGTAGCTGGTAGCTGCAGCGTTTCCAATAAGGTTGAACTACAGGAAAAGGCAGAGCAACAAACTTCTGAGGAGACATGGAGGTAGAGGGATTAGATTCTGTTCTGGCAGCAAGTGGAGAGTGAGGCAGGTATATAACGGCAGAGAAACAGTTACTTGGAAGAAGAAGTGGCAGCAGCAGGAGTGCATGGTGCTGACTGTTGGGTGGGAGTGACCTGAGGAAGTGCACCTTGGAGCACTTCCTCAGGTCAGTGAGAGTAATTAGCTTAAGCTTACACAAAGTAACGAGCAAATGTCCAGAGTCTTTTCTCATTTTTTATATTTTAATTCAAAGGAAACTTCTTTTTAGTTCTCTGAAGGATGAATCAAGGATCTTTATTGTACTGAAGTATCCTCCACTGAGCATGAGCCTATGAATATATTATCATCACAGGATGCGTTACATTGGTTTAATTTTTAATCACAGTAAAAACTTATACTGATATGTTTCATCAGCTGCTGAGAAAATGGTAGAAACCAAAGTGCAGCCAGGATCCAGTCAGACTGCAGATTCTTCTGATGAAGAGAAAAACGAAGGTGAGATTGAGCTACAAAGATTTAACTCTAGCTTTCATTGTTGTGTTTCAGGTTGCTCCTTCAGTTTCAATCTGTGGTCTTTCTTGAATTAATAAATATTTAAAGGTTTGAGTAAATGATAAAAATGAAGCAAAATCTATTTTGTGTGTTAGATAAATGATCACAAACCTCCAACAGCACATTTCTCAATAATACCTTAACAAAGCTGAAGTAAAACATCTGTAAAACAACTCAGGTTCAGCTTTCTAGCCTCTGAAATTACATGTTTACTGATGAGTTATCATATTTAGAAATGCAAGGTATTAATGAATGAATATTTCAAATGTTGATCGACTAAGGATTAACTGTTCATTTTCTTAAAACCAGAGTTTTCACTTGTGTGACGAGGATTTTTCTATTACATGAGGGGCTTAATATGCTTAGTTGAAAATTATATTACAACAACTTATAGTGCCTGTTTTAGGAAATACTGATTGAAATATAATGTATATTTTTAGTTTTTTTTTTTTGCCTTCCGTAAATCACAAAATGATTTTTTTTTATAGACAAACAGGCTTTTTAATCCAAATGTTAAAAAAGCAACAGAGCACTTGAAGCATAGTTGTTTGACAAATTTAACTTTTCCTATTTTACAGAAATTAACATTACAGTGTCAATTGGAAAACATAAGGATGATAGAGAAACAGCAACCAGCCCTGATAAAAGTGACTAAAGTCTTTATTCCACTGTTTCACACAAAGTAATGTCCAACAGTTTGGAGTCTCAAATCCATCATTTATTCCCTGGTTTGCTCCTTTGTTTAAACCCTCAAAAACAGCACAGCCTGACATTTACTATTTAGTTTCATGATCATTGAGGGAAAATAAACCAAAGATATTAAGATCATCATAATTTCATTGAAATTATTAAAACGTTCAGTTATTACAGCTAAAACTCACAGTTTATGGTGTCTTATTGACAGAAGGTGATCCATTGCTGACTGATACCAATATAGTAGCTGGTAAAAGTACATTTACCATTGTTTAGTGTTAAAAAAAAGAAAAACACCAACCAAATTCAAAGTCAATAAAGTGAAAACCTACAGCAGAGTGATTGTTTTCTAGACCAGGACCATAATTCAGCACTAGAACCATTCAGGGAGAACCAAGGAGAACCAGAGCAGAACTGCAGACCTAAGGACAGACCTCAGATCAGTGGAGGATCTGATGGGTTCATTTCATTCTGATCTTTGTTTTTGTTCCTGGTCTCAATCAGGCTGAACATCTATGACCATTATGAGAAACATGGTTTTAGAAACATGTTGCGTGGGGGGGCTCATGAATATATTATCATCACTGGATGCCTTACAGTACATTGGTTTTATGTTTAATCTCACATAAAATGTTATACTGATATATTTCAGCAGCTGAAGAGAAAACAGGATCCAGTGATGCTGCAGATTCTGCTGGTATGGAGAATAAAGGAGGTAAGTTTATGCTAAAAAAAATTATATAACTCTAAGTTTCATTGTTGTGTTTCAGGTTGCTCCTTCAGTTTCACTCTGTGGTCTTTCTTGAATTAATAATTAATTTTTAAAGGTTTGAGTAAATGATAAAAAAGAACCAAAATCTATTTCAATGTGTGTTAGATAAATGATTACAATCATTGACATTCAAATAAATCATCCAGTTTGAAATGTGAAAAAAACTCCAACAGCACATTTCTCAGTGATACCTTAACAAAGCTGAAGTAAAACATCTGTAAAACAACTCAGGCTCAGCTTTCTAGCGTCTAAATTTACATGTTTACTGATGAGTTATTATCATATTTAGGAATGCAAGGTATTAATTAATGAATATTTCTAATGTTGATCGACTAAAGATTAATTCTTCATTTTCTAAAAAACTGAATATTCACTTTTTGATGATCTTACTGTTACATGAGGGACTAAATATGAGTTAGAAACATGGTAAATAATATTTCAACTATTAATAGTAACTGCTTTATTAAATACTGATTTAATTAACTTTTTACTAAGAATTTATCATTGACATTGCTTTATGATTTAATTGCTGTCAGAGGAAGATTAAAACTTGGCTGCATGAAATGCATGAGCACAAAACCTTCCCCGTCTACCATTCTAATTGCTAGCATGTCTTTTTCTATCATGTTACAAACGTTTTTTCTAATGCCCTCCACTTTTCTATCATTTAATCTTTGCCTTCCAAGCACAGCATAGAAAGCTATGCTGTTTCTCAGTACAGTGAGGCTAAATTGGAGCTATTTAGGGGATAAATTAAGGAGTTTATCAAGTGTTCATATTCACAAAGAAAGCTTGAACAGCAACGATTGTTATAATAAACCTTTTCCTATTTTAATGAAATAAATAATTCAAGATCAAATGGAAAACTCAAGATGAATGAAAGTAACAACAAGCAGGTCTGAGAATGATGATGGAGACATAATTTCACTATTTCACACAAAGTAATGTCCAACAGCCTGGAGTCATCCCTTATTTGACCCTTCTAGCAGGAAGTCCCTGAGAGTCAAAACCTAATTTTTTTTCTCAGAGTCAACAGGGCCAAACTAGGATTATAAGATAAATAGTAGCAACAAAAAGTGATATAAAATCTTGAGTTAATTCGTAATAATGTAGCATCTTTTATATTTTATCTTCAGATTCCAAAAAAAAAAAAATTTCACTGCAAAAATGAATCAACTAAACCTCATTTATTTAAATCTATTATAAATCAGTTTGTGGATCATCTTTACATCATACATGAGTTGGTTCTAGTTTTGGAGCTAAATATGGATTTTCACAGTTGTACCATTTCTTAATAACCCTTATAGATAAAATGATTTTGCTAAAAGAAAACCGATGGGTTGAAAAATTTAACTGTTTATCGTTTTTTTTATTTTTTTTTATTTAAATAAAGGAGGGTGTTAAGGTCACAGTGTTTTAACTCATTTTTGTAGATTGGAACCAGGATCAAACATCAAACCCTCCAGATTCATCCCAACCGAAAAATAATGAACCTGGTGAGTAAAACCTTCTAAGATGTTTATTTCTTTTCACTTCATTTTAGCAGCAAGGCAAATTTATTTATATAGCACAATTTAGTACAAAGACAATGCAAAATGCTTTACGTTATTAAAATATAGGAAAATAAAACAGCATCAGAGCAAGTAGAAGAAAAAATCAATAATACAAATTCAGATACAAGAAAGAACATTAAAAGCAGTTGGACTAAAGAAAATAAAAAAAAATGAACTAATGGTGTTTCAGTTGAACTGTTTAACTAGAACAGTTAAAGGCAATCCTAAACAAATGTGTTTTTTGTCTTGATTTAAAGGAACTCAGGCTTTCCGCACTTTTACAGTTTTCTGGAAGTTTGTTCCAGATAAGTGGAGCATAGGAACTAAATGCTGCTTCTCCATGTTTAGTTCTGGTTCTAGGTATGCAGAGCAGGCTGGAGCCAGAAGACCTGAGTGGTCTGGAGGGTTGATACACTGATAGCAAGTCTGTGATGTATTTAGGTGCTAAGCCATTCAGGGATTTATAGACTAACAGAAGTATTTTAAAGTCTATTCTCTGAGATACAGGGAGCCAGTGTAAGGACTTTAGAACTGGGGTGATGTGCTCTACTTTCTTAGTCTCAGTGAGGACACGGGCAGCAGCGTTCTGGATCAGCTGCAGCTGTCTTATCCACTTTTTAGGCAGACCTGTGAAAACACTGTTGCAGTAATCGATTCGACTAAAAATAAAAGCATGGATCAGTTTAGGAGGTTCAAGTCTGAATCCAGTACTACACCTAGATTTCGGGCCTGATCAGTGGTTACTAGCCGAACCGACTGAAGCTGTGTGCTGACTTTAGATCTCTCCTCTATTGGTCCAAAGATTTTTACTTCAGTTTTGATTTTATTCAGTTGTAAAGTTGCCTACTGATACAAAAAGTCCCTGTCCTTTAAGTAGCATTTAAACCAGTTGAGAGTTGTACCAGAGAGGCTGACCAACTTTTCCATTCGAACTAACAGGAGGGAGTGATCGACAGTATTGAATGCTGCAATGAGGTCCAATAGTACGAGCACTGTGGTTCTTCCGCAGTCTGTATTTATACAGATGTCATTAAACACCTTGATAAGGGTGGTCTCTGTACTGTGGTGAGTACAGAAACCTGACTGGAAAACGTCAAAGCGGCTGGTCATATCTAAGAAAGTGTTTAATTGTTGAAACACAGCTTTTTGATTTCTCTTATTTCATATATTAATTTATCCTATTTACTCACTAAGAAAATTTTCACTCGGTCTGTTTTGCCTGTGGGGCCACACAATGCTCCTGCGTGAGGGTGTTTGTAGACCAGACACAGCTTCTTCCCAAAACAAAGCAAATTCTTTCTCAAAGATTATTCATAAAATGTCACAGTTAACCAAAGTGCCTGTAATTTGTTTTGACTGACTACTTCCATTATTGTAAGTAAAGGGAACACACTCTGCTCAGGCAGAACAGGGCTGAATACAGAGCAGTAAGGGCCATTTGATGAACTTTTCTCTCTGTGCAAAATTATGAAAATAAAGTGCCGACTGAGTGAAATCCATCGATCTCAGTTTATTTAACTGGGATGAATAGTTGAATACTTTTTTCCCACTACGATTAACCAAAAACTATTTCAAATACTGTTTGATAAATAACCCCAGTGGTTCATCTGTGATTATTTATCTTAATCTGAAATACAAGTAAATCTTATATTCTGATAAGCTAGAAGGCTAAAATTGTATATTTGTTATGGCTGCCTGAACAAAGCTGGAGTAAAGCATCTGTAAAAACAACTCAGTCCCAGCTTTCTAACATATAAACTTGCATATTTACTTTTCAGATATTACTGTTGCAAGGTATCATAAATGAATTTAACTAATTTTGAAAGATTTTATTGACTGACTTATTAATTGATAAGCAGCAATTTTCTTTGAACCCGATTATCAACTTGTATTAGGATGATCAATTATTATGTGAAGGGCTAAGTATTTTACATTATGCTAATTTAAAAATATATATAAATCATATTTTAACAATTTATAGTGTCAGCTGTATTAAATACCGACTTAAAAAATAAAAAATTATTTTTTTGTAGCATTACACTTTTTCATAGTTCATGTTTATTTATGGAGCACACTTAACAACAATCAACAGAAAACCCAAGGTGCTGAACAACTGACAGGCATGATGCAGGATGCCAAAATGATAATAAAAAAACAAAAACTAACTCAACATTAGCCAGTAGAAACACACAAAAGGTGAGTAAAAGGAAAGACATAGATTAAGAACAAGGCATTCTTAAAAACACGGGCGGGACATTAAAAGAGCAATTAGACAGAGGAAGGAAGAAAGAGCATATAGATAGGAAAAAACTAAAATGAACTAAAAAATGTGGAATAAATAGACACAAATGCACCACAGCAGAGGGAGATCAACCTCTAATATAACAAGACATATTTAGATGATTTTACAAAAAGAATGTATTAGTTTATTGAAAAAAAAATTGAATAGAATACATAAAAGACTTATGTTTAATGTATAGAGATAACCTGTATCATTAAAACACTTAGTTGTCAAAAGCAAGCACACACTCACATCCTAGGATATAACAAATATCCCTATGAATGGGACATTTACAATGAAGAATATGGCATTCAATAATGACAAATAATCTAAATATATAAGGAAGTAACTTTTTCTGTATTGAATAAAAAAGTCCCTATACTCTTGTTACAAAAGATTGCATAAGGTACTTTTTTTTTTTCTACAGAAGAGAAAATCGAGGCAAGACCTGCTAATAAAGTAAGAGGAACTTCAATTTTTGTTTCAATATACAGGTGCTGGTCATAAAATTAGAATATCATGAAAAAGTAGATTGATTTCAGTAATTCCATTTAAAAAGTGAAACTTGTATATTATATTCATACATTACATACAAACTCATATATTTCAGATGTTTATTTTGTTTAATTTTGATGATTACAAATGACAACAAATGAAAATCTCAAATTCATCATATCGGAAAATTAGAATATTACTGAAGACCAATAAAAACAAAGGATTTATAGAAATGTTGGCCAACTGAAAAGTATGAACATGAAAAGTATGAGCATGTACAGCACTCAGTATTTAGTTGGGCCTCCTTTGGCCTGTATTACTGCAGCAATGCGCGTGGCATGGAGTCGATCAGTCTGTGGCACTGCTCAGGTGTTATGATAGCCCAGGTTGCTCTAATAGTGGCTTTTAGCTCTTCTGAATTGTTGGGTCTGGTGTATTGCATCTTCTTCTTCACAATACCCCATAGATTTTCTATGGGGTTAAGGTCAGGAGAGTTTGCTGGCCAATTAAGAACAGGGATACCATGGTCCTTCAACCAGGTACTGGTAGCTTTGGCACTGTGTGCAGGTGCCAAGTCCTGTTGGAAAATGAAATCTGCATCTCCAAAAAGTTGGTCAGCTGCAGGAAGCATGAAGTGCTCTAAAACTTCCTGGTATGTGGCTGCGTTGACCCTGGACCTCAGAAAACACAATGGACCAACACCAGCAGATGACATGGCACCCCAAACCATCACTGACTGTGGAAACTTTACACTGGACTTCAAGCAACGTGGATGAAGTGCCTCTCTTCTTTTCCTCCAGACTCTGGGTCCTTGATTTCCAAAGGAAATGCAAAATTTACTTTCATCAGAGAACATGACTTTGGACCACTCACCAGCAGTCCAGTCCTGTTTCTCTTTAGCCCAGGCAAGACGCTTCTGACGCTGTCTGTGGTTCAAGAGTGGCTTGACACAAGGAATGCGACAGCAGAAACCCATGTCTTTCATACGTCTGTGTGTGGTGGTTCTTGAAGCACTCACTCCAGCTGCAGTCCACTCTTTGTGAATCTCCCCCACATTTTTGAATGGGTTTTGTTTCACAATCCTCTCCAGGGTGCGGTTATCTCTCTTGCTTGTACACTTTTTTCGACCACATCTTTTCCTTCCCTTCGCCTCTCTATTAATGTGCTTGGACACTGAGCTCTGTGAACAGCCAGCCTCTTTAGCGATGACCTTTTGTGTCTTGCCCTCCTTGTGCAAGGTGTCGATGGTCGTCTTTTGGACAACTGTCAAGTCAGCAGTCTTCCCCATGATTGTGTAGCCTATAGAACTAGACTGAAAGACCATTTAAAGGCTTTTGCAGGTGGTTTGAGTTAATTAGCTGATTAGAGTGTGGCACCAGGGGCCATCAATTTTGAACCTTTTCACAATATTCTAACTTTCTGATATGATGAATTTGAGATTTTCATTTGTTGTCATTTGTAATCATCAAAATTAAACAAAATAAACATCTGAAATATATGAGTTTGTATGTAATGTATGAATATAATATACAAGTTTCACTTTTTAAATGGAATTACTGAAATCAATCAACTTTTTCATGATATTCTAATTTTATGACCAGCACCTGTATATGGTATATATGTTCGGAATTAGAACTGATTTAATTACAATTTTGTGATCTAAATAACATAGTACAAACTGCAGTAATTTAGCAATGATTTATGATAAATGTTTTGTTTGTAGTTTTTTTTTTTTGTTTAAATCATTTATCAACTAGAAATCTTTTTTTTTTTTTTTTAATGGTATCACCTGTGTGTCCATATAGGGCCTAAGTTAAAATGTACGAGAAAAATCAAGAGTGTGAGAGGGGCTTAGTTTTTTTGGACACTTTATTCAAGCTTGAAAGGCTACAAACCATACTCCCCACAATGCTACATTTTGCTCCTCCACCTTGATTTATGTCATTTGGGGAAGGGTGCTAACATTTCATTCACCACTCTGGGCTCTTTTCCACTAAAAGGGGCTGTAATAATAATCAGGAACTTGCCCGCATGCAGTGTGCTTCTGCTTGTATAACTTTTTATACTGTGTTAAATAAAAACGTACATATACATCAGTCAAATTCCTGTGCGTATCCTGTCAGCACAAACAAGGTGGATTAAAAAGGGTCCAAATGAACTCTATGGATTTTTTCTTCTTCTAAAAATCTGATTAGTTTAAAAACAATTTCAGGACCATTATATGTGTAAAATGTTAGGTTATGACTCCTTTAAATTGAGAATTATGAGAAATTTGCTATCAATGCCTTTTCTATCAGTCAAATGGAAAAAATAAAGCAGTATCATCTTTAATAATTGGCAAGAAAATTCAGCAGCACATATTGGGGGCTCAATTAGGCTGAAAAAAAAATCTGTATTGGCAGCAGCCTTAAAAACTCTGCATCAATCGATCACTACTTATTACACTTAGGCCTAATGTTCAAAGATTCCAGATAAGGGTATATAAAAGTGTTTGTTTTTTATACTATACACCTATACTATACTACATATTATACTGCAATAAGTGGGTGTGTTGCAGGTAAAAGATTGTTTCACAAATGTGAAAAAGTGCACACTGGTTTGGTTTTGCCCAAATGAACAGATGTGTGGTATTTGTTCAACAGGCAGCGAGAGTCGCTGTAAAATGTGTTGCTTTTGCACTTCTGGTTAGACCTAAACTGCATTTCGTTGCCTTGTACCTGTACATGTGTAATGACAATAAAGTTGAATCTAATCTAAAAGATTCAAAGTCATGTGGTTTTAAATAAAGATAATAAGCAATTACACAGTGCATCTCAAAGCATTATGTACAAAATAAAAACTATAAAATATAAACATTCAAGAAACATGATTAAGTTTAAAGTATCTGATAAAATATAATTTAGGTCATGTTCTATTAACTTGGGAGAGAAAAAAAATCCTTATAAGAGATGCACAGTTTTGATATTTTACTTCATAAACACGCCACAATATTTACTTCAATAACTGTTTATATCTGCTCATCCTCTCTCAGAGTACCAACGCCTCCTTTGACGCAATAATCACCGCAGATCTTTTTCCGTGTCAGTTTGCATCTGACTTTAAAAAAGATTTAAAAAGTGACAAAAACTGTGCAGTTGATTTTCAACTTTGAAAAATAGCTTTGAACATGGTAAATGTTAGCAATTGCACTTCCTTCACCCTTGAATTGATGCAGTTAGGTCATTAGAATATGATCTACATGTTAAATTGCAAGATCAAATTATTTTGCACCTTCTTTGAAAATCTGCTCTCTGCATACAAAGTTGTTTCTAACTATTTTGAGATACACTAATCTTTTGAAGATCTTTGAATATCAATGCTAAAGTAGGCTATTATTCTGTATAACTTTTCACAGTTTCTCTGCAATCCTTGTGAGGAAAACAACAAACATCAAGAAGAAATTGAAAAAATACTCAGAAGACTTCATCTCAAAGACCAACATCAAAGAATGTTGTCATCAGAGGACTTTATTAAAATAGGTCCACCTGTAAATCAGACTAATCAAATCCTCGAGAAAGAGATAGTTTTTACTTTTCTTCAGAGATTAATGATGTTAGATTACAGGGCAAGATACATTACAAATCAATCAAAAGAGGATCATATACACCCAATGGATGTTCAAATGGCAATATTTCACTGCTCTGATAGCTTTCTTAGACAGAAAATGATTACCAAGTTGTCACAGTGCCAGTATGCTTTACCATTGCTATTTCCTGATCCTGTCACAGCAAATATTGTGTCTCCTCTCTGGACATTCAGACAAATATCAAAATCATGGAAGATTTGCACAAAGAAGGAAGACTCTAGCACAGTCAAAATGAAGAGCATGCCAATCTACAAAGCTAAGACTCCCCTGGTTTCATTTTTCCGACTGGCCTCCTTGCCTGTGTCCAAATCTCAGCTGATGAACACCTTGATCAATGACCGCCACAACACATTCTTCCATAGAGACTGTCCAGGCAGCACCAAATCTCATAATTTCATGGATGGTGTGGCAGAAATTGCCTGGTACTGCCCTGCTGGAAAATCCAATGATTTCTTTAACGACTGTGTTGCTTTCTGTAATCTTCATGGGGATTCTTTAGAAATGGTCAAACAGCGTGAAATACTGACTAAAAAATCCTCAGTCATTATTATTCTCGTACAAACTTTGGAAATGAGCCAGGAAAGTAAGGCAATCATTTCAATGCTTTTGAAGTCATCAAAACCTTTGATAATACTCAGTGCTGACAATGACTGTAGTGCAGTTGAGGTGACACCACAAAAATACAAACTGGGTCTGAAAGAAAGAAGCCAATCCGATGTTTCTAAAGAGCTGAAAGAAATGATAAGAAAAATTTTGTCTGGACCCCACAAGCTCTTCCAGCTTAAAACTATGGAAAAAATGACAAATGAAGTCAGAGTGGATGAAGAGGCAGAGGCCTGCCAAAATGGGAAAACTGCTGCAATGAAACTGGTTGCACTGATTAGAAAGATGGATATCGCCAAAATAAAAGAAGTGTTTCTCCCCTGCCAAGGTCCACTTTGGTATGAGTGGTGCAAAATCAACAAAGAACTGTATCATCTAAAGGGAGAAATTGAGCAAGAAAAGGCTCATAAAACTCAGCAACTGATGGAACTACGACAGAAACAGTGTGACGTGTCCAATAGTGAACTAATGAAGTTGTTCACTGAGAGCCTCAAAAGTTTGCCAACAAACGAATATTTCTTGAAATGGACCCAAATCCTGATAGATGCTGTCTCCACAGATTATCTATCTTCAATTCTCCAAAAATATGATGAAACATGGTCAGAAGTCTTGGCTCTTAAGAAGAAAGATAACAAATCTGAAGAATTAATTAAAAAACAAGCTGAGCTTGAGCAGTTATCAAAGCTGATTCAATCAGCAACATTTGGTCTTGAACATATGTTTAGAGAAATGGGACAGATCTATGAAGCGCATAAATCTCTGGAGAAACCAGCAGAGGGCCAACAGGCTGAATGGACTAAATACCCTGAACTGGCTGCAGATCTGATGATAAAAGGACACCCAATGGAGCTGATGGATGGTGATGCAGGCCATGTGCCTTTGATATGGATCTCTAGTCTCATACAGGAGGTCATCAAGAAGCTAGGTGACCAGAGAGTCTTTGTGCTGTCAGTGCTGGGCTTACAAAGCAGTGGAAAGTCAACAATGCTGAATGCCATGTTTGGATTGGAGTTTGCAGTGAGTGCTGGGAGGTGCACCAAAGGTGCTTACATGCAGCTGGTTAAGCTGTCAGAGGAAATCCAGAAAGACTACAGATTTGACTATATTCTAGTTGTGGACACTGAAGGTCTGCGCGCTCTTGAGTTAGCAGGCAATGCTACCCTTCATCACGATAATGAGCTTGCAACATTTGTCGTTGGTCTAGGAAACCTGACACTGATCAATATCTTTGGTGAAAATCCAGCTCATATGCAAGATATCTTACAGATTGTTGTGCAGGCTTTCATGAGGATGAAGAAAGTCAAGCTTTCTTCAAGTTGTGTGTTTGTTCATCAGAATGTCACAGATATTGCAGCAGCAGAGAAAAACATGGATGGAAAAAGACGCCTGCAGGAGAAATTAGATGCAATGACTCAATTAGCTGCTGAAGAGGAAGGCTGTGCTTTTGAGTGCTTCAGTGATGTCATTGCATTTAATGTGCAAGAGGATGTTAAATACTTTGCTCAGTTATGGGAGGGAAGTCCACCAATGGCTCCTCCAAATCCAGGGTACAGTGAGAGTGTCCAAGAACTGAAGGCCTCCATCCTGTCTAAGGCCTCAGACTCTGATGGCATTCTTCTGTCACATTTTGGTACCAAGATCCAGGACTTGTGGAACGCCTTGATCAATGAACACTTTGTTTTTAGCTTCAAAAATACTCAAGAAATTGCAGTCTATAGAGAACTGGAGGTGCAGTATGGAAACTGGACCTGGGCCTTGAGAAGTGAGATGCTGAATGTTGAAAACCAGCTTTATACCAAAGTTGAAAAAGGTCAACTGGGCAAAGTTGAGCTCACTGACCTTTCCAAAGAAATAAGTAACAAATACGAAGAAGTGATGAAAAAGATGACAGCTTATTTTAATGACAACCAAAACAAAGAAATGCTGGTTCAGTGGCAGGGTCGATTTGAGAACAAAATAAAAGGCTTTCATGACGACATTGTGAGAGACGTGAAAAGAAAACTGAATGAAGTAATTCAGCAGAAAAATGCCCGAACAAAGCTTGATGACAAAAAGGGAGTTTTTGAGAACAAGCTGCTCCAGCAGAGCAAAGAGCTTGCTCACAAGTTAAAATGCCTTCAAAAATATGAAGAGGAAAAAAAAGCACAGTTTAATAATGTCTGGAGTCATTGGGTTAAGGAACTAACCTTAGATACAAAACCCATTGAAAATATTTATTTAGAAAAAGACCAGTTTAATATCCTTCTAGATCTTGGTGTTGAACCAAAGCTCATTCATGACTCAAAGAAAAGCCAGAGATACAAAAATCTGTCAGAAACTCTTGATTATTCTGATTACATAACAGCAAAGGAGAACTCTGGGGGTGCCATGGAGAAATTCAAGAGGCTTTCTGTATTTAACGAGCAAAAACATGTCAGGTCGTTCATTAAGGAGGTTGAAAAAAAATGTCTGGATGCCCTTAAGAGCAAACCTGTTGCAACGAGAGGTTACACATCTACCTACTTATCAGACATGGCTCAAATCATTATAAAACACATAAAAGCATTTGAATCTGGAAGGGATTATGTATTCAAGAAGGAGTTCACAGTTGATCTTTCACTGTTTGTGTTTGGCAATGCAGAAAGTTGGCTCTTAAACTCGCACAAGACATACAAAGACAACAATGATGTTCATACTTATTTAGAAACCAAGAAAAATGAATATTACAGCATTTTCCAAAGCTACTGTAAAGGAAGCTCTTCTGCTGTTGTGTTTGGGGAAACGATGTGTAAAAACCTCAAAGCCTCTGCTGTTGCAGCTGTCTGTAATAAGACTGCGGTTAATATCGCTAGTGAGATAAAGGGCAGGGTCCCAGCATTCAATGGGAATAGAGTGAACTTAGAAAAATATCTGTTAAAGAACATGGCAGAGAAGGAAGATTTTAAGAGTTTTATCACCTACATCAGAGATCCAAGAAAGCAACTAGAGGCCTTTATTAAAGAAGAGGTGAAGAAAAACATGTTTAAAAACAGTGAAGCTCAGAAGATTATTAGGAAAAACGTAGAGGACATCAGGAGGGCCATTGGTCAGGCTTTGTTTGAGGCAACAGAAGACGCTGAAAAGAAGAAAGGAGACATAGAGATGTGGGTGAAGGAGTTTTCCACTAAAGTAGGGCCAATCTTAACAATTGATACCATTAGTTGTGAAAACTTCAAGGACATAAACAACTTTGACTTTCTTAAAGAAGAGATGGAGAAAGGCCTTAAAATAATCACAGAGGAAATGATTAATCTCTCTCTGAATGAAGTGAATAAATGCAGGCAGAGGCCTGAACAAATCCTCATTGATCAGTTGTGTAACTGCTGCTGGGAAACATGTCCTTTCTGTGCTGCAGTTTGCACCAATACTATCATGGACCACAGTCCTGATAAGCACAGTGCTCTTTTTCATCGACCTGCTGGGATAATAGGTCGGTGTAACATTGGAACAGATGAGCTGACTGTTGAGCTCTGCACCACAGCTGTAGCAAGTGATGGAAGCTTTTACCCCGAGTGTGACTCAGAGTCTCCAGTTCTTTATAAAGAGTATCCAACTGCTGGAGAAAGATATGCTGCATGGAGCATCACACCTGATGGCTCTATGCTGCCCTACTGGAAATGGTTTGTCTGTCACTTTCAGGAGGAACTGGAAAAACACTATAAGATGAAATTCCATGGCCGTGGAGAAATTCCTCAGCAGTGGAAGTTGATCAGTAAGAAGGATGCCATAGACAGTCTAGATAGGATGTAAAGTCTAGGAAAATATCAGTTCATTACAGTAAGTTTGAGATCTGCCTCTTAACAGTTAGAGAAGCTGCACAATTTATTGAAAAGCATTTGGTTTAAACTTCCTGACTTAATTATATGTTAAGTTTAGTAAAATTAAAATACCTTAAGACAAATATCAGATTTTTTTTCTTTATATTAATGGAATATATTGTTGTTTGTCTAGTTAGATTATTTGCCAGTCGCTGCAAGATGGGGATGGAATTTCAAATATAAGGATTAATAGAAGTTATGTAAACATTTTTCTTTTTTATCTATTTATAATTAACTTATCATGGCATATGCTTTGATATTGATAAAAGTATCATTGGAAAAAAGCTATTCTTTAGAAAAAGAGTGACAATGATGTCTGAGAAAAGAAAATAAATTTTCAGCATTTGATTTTGTGAAAGACATTTTATTCTTTAATGAGAAATGAATGCTTTTATCATGTTTTCTTTTTATATTTAATATTTCATTTTATGTTTAAAACCTACAGGGTTTTGAAAAAAAAGGTTGAGCAATTTAACACATTTTATGCCAATTTAACTATTTTATGCCTTTTGTATCCATGTAAAAATGCAAATAGATACAATAAACAGACTTAGTTTCACATCACTTAATTTACTTTACATAAGTGGGTTGAAAAATTATTCAGAATCTATCTACATTTTGTCACATTACAGCTAAAAGCATTAGTATATGTCATTTGAATTTTACATGAAAGACCACTTTAAGGTGCTATTCCTTTGTGGGGAAGAAAGAACATTAAAAACATATATTTTTTCTTTTTTATATAAGAATAAAAAATGTAAAAAGTAGGGTGTGCAGCCCTATTTTTCTTAGTGATATCATTTGCATTTAAAAGTTGCTTGATAATTACTACAGAGTTCACCTTTATTCTAATCTTAATTCTAATCTCAGTACAAATACAGCTACACTGTGTTGGCTTTAGAGGTTGGTTAACAGAAAATATGAGAGCATCAGCATCATCATAAAGTCCAAGGAACACACCAGGCAGGTGAGGCTATAAAATCGGTTTCCAAGCTCTGAACATCTAAGTCCCTCATCCGGAAACGGAGAGTGTGTCGCATAACTGTAATCCTACCATGACTGTCCCCATGCCTGCTGGACCAGTAATCACATCACTACTCACATCCAGTTTAATATTGTCGTGTTTTATTAATTCTTCTCTGTTGGATTGAGTGAAACTTGATTGACTCGATAATTACAAAAGATTTTACTTAACATATATTATTTAAATCTTCTATGCTGTTGAGTTAATGGATATTCCTTTGTGTATCAATGAAGTCAAGCTAATCAACCTATCCAAAACTCTTCCTCCAGGACTCATTGATTTCCCCTTCAATTAACTGTTTCTGTCATTTTTCCTGTTTATGTTTGCTGTTTAGAGTGTTAAACAGAATAATATTGTAACAAGTTTTAAAAGGTTTAATAAAAGTGCACATAGCTCAATTATGGTGGTCTGTATCATTTCTTTTAGCAGTGACCTCTAAGAGCTAAATCAACAGACATACTTTCTTTGTGGTTGACGATTAACAGCTGCTTCAAATTTAGAATTTGTACCAGTTATTAGTCATTCAATTTGTTCAATTATTGGTATTTAATAGTGGTGGAAATAAACTGGGTTTTAACAGCTGATACAGATGTCCAGCCTAATTAAATCTACAATGTGTAATAATCAGACCAGCTGACAGCTTTGCTAGGGCCCGGGACAACACAGTCTTTTTGGGCCCCCCCTCTACACCTACTGACACTTTGGAAATTCTCTCCCCTCTGAATCTGCTGACAGTTCATATGCAACCTCTGAGTAGTGAGGAAACCACAAGTGATTCTTGTGAGATGGAAGAGGAAAATAGTGAAAACAAAGAAGATTGGAAGAGAATAGAGTCAACAAATGAAAAAAATGAGACCAATTAAACGGGAATCGAGCACAGAATAATCAAGTGATGAATAATCTAGAAATTTCACAAAATTCCCATAACAAAACGAAGATTACAAAGTAATATTCAAACTAGTCAAGCGGGAAGACTCTTTTGCAGAATGGAATCCAGTCCAGTTAACAAAAACAACAAACTAGTAGGAGAAGTCCGGTGCCAAAATATTTTATAGAGGAGACTTGTTAATCAACTGCAGAGACAGCACTCAACAAGACAAAGCTATATGCATTAACAAGATGGAGGGAAAAGAATTCAGTGCTGCTTGGTGGATAAAAAATAAATTGAGTAGCAGAGGAGTCTTTGGAGGAGTTCCTTTAAAAGTAACTGACAAAGAATTTCTAGAAAATATAAGTGGTGCAAAAGAAAAAGATGTGAAACGGTTAAAAACAACAACATATGGAAAAAGGTATTATAGCTTATCAGTGTTAAATTTGAAATTGAGCATTTACTGAGTAAGGTTTTCATTTCATATATGCGCTACAATGTGAAAATATACAATCCTCAATCCTTGCTGTATGTAAGGGCAAACAACGATTTGGAAGGTTTGCTGGAGAGCATGAATATGAAAAATGTGGTAAGGAAGTAAAACTTAAATGCTGTAACTCTGGTGGAGAACATACTGCTGCATATTGTGGATGCAAAATGAGCAAAAGATCTCAATAGCAAAGAAAAGTGAATTTAGAGCTTGGAATAACTTATGCAAAAGCTGCACAAATACTCTCAACCCAGTCAGAAAGACCCAAATCAACATTTATGCAAATGACAAGTTCCAAACCTTTGGAGGAGTGCCTGAAAATTGCAGAGGATTCATGATGTTGAAAAAGAGGGATTGTGTAGTTTTCATGGTAGAAGTTATCAATTGTACTACTTAAACAAGAAAGTAAACCAAAAAAATCTAAATAATAGTGAAAGCTTCAGAAAAGTACCTTGGGGTGAGAGATTTAAGGTTGGAAATGGTTGAAAGCATGCTGGGAAATTATTAGCACCGTAAGAATCTGACAGAGTGACAATAATATAAAGACAAATTAGAAATGATGAGGGCAAATTAGATTTAGTATTAGGCATTTATTATGTTGACTTAATTTAAATGGTTAGGTAAATTATTGATATTATAATCAGTTTTTTTTGTGTTTTTTTTGCTGGGCATGAGTCTTGCTTCCTGTTACCTTGTTTTATTCCATATCAGTTGGTGGCAGTAATGCACTACAATTAGTTTGCCAAACGCCGCAAAATACAAGAAGAAGAAGAAAGAAAGCTTAGTATCAGAGGAGCCTGTGGGTGGAAAGAGTGGCGGAGCAGGGAGAAAAGGCAGCAGCTGATTGCTGTCTGTGCTGGAGGTAGGATGAAAAACTATGCTGATCAGTTTCAGTGATCACAGTAGTATTTTAAATAGTAATGGGGAGATAAAGCCTTGTGAGGCATTGAAGCGTGTGTCAAAATCATCTTTCACTGATCACAGTTCATGTAGATTCATGTGAACATGTTGCAATCTACTGGCAGAGTGAATAACTACAGTTAGCAATATAATTGTGATTTTTTTGTTTGCAGTTTTGCTTGTGTTTTTCCCATTTAAGTTACTTTGAAACTTGTCATGATTGGTGTGTATAATAAAATCTTTGGTAAGGTTTTTGTTCATGAAATGTCTTAGAAAAGAACAATCTTTTAAGGTTCGCTGTTTTTTTTTTTTCTGTCGTTTTAGAGAAATAAGCTCAGGCAGGAACTGCTTGTTTTCCACTGTTCTTGGTTTGGTTAAATCAACAACTTTGGCAGTGTTCTTACCCAATCTTTATTGGTAAAAGGGCAAACCAATACAAATTGGTCGCATTGGCCAAAATACTGGTTAAGCATTATAGCAACTTTCAAAAGCTTAAACCAGGTTTTATCCCACTTTTACTCTCGCTATGTCCGGGGTGTCCCAATTTTTTTTTTTTTTTCCAATGGTAAAACGCTAATACAGCACACAGTGACTGAATCTTCTTGTCTTTGGGCAATGTGTATGCCAATCACACAGTTGCTATAGCAATATATAATATGAACCAGTTAGTAAAAGATAGACAGTCCTCCACGTGTCAGTAGCCTGATTCTCATTGGTCCAGGGCATTAGATGTTCACAGCAATGCGCTATGATCGACGTTTGTTCTGTTCAACATGCCTAAAAGAAAGCCGAGATTAACCCTTTGTTATTCAGATCTTTGGATACTTCCATATTTACACCGTCTGAACTGAGGGGCAAAAAGATATCTGTAATTTAGTGGAAGTTGAGCATGCCACTCTTCTGGGGACTAGCAGAAAATGATGGCTTTCACTGAGGCCTACTGCTGAGAGAATCCTGAAGCGTTACCCAGCTCTTCAGTCCAACTTCAGGTCTCAAGATAAAGCTCTCAATTCCATTCTCAAGTTTCTTGAAGACCAAATGTGCAAGGCATGGCTTTGGTTTTTTCTTAACCAACTAACACTTTAACAATGCCATAAAAAACTGGAGAAGCAGGAGACGTATGCCATCAATTCTGCCGTGTACCTCTCCAGTCTTAAGTAAAAGCTTGTGGAGCGGAAGGCTGCACTCTTCGTGGGCTTAAAGGTGAGTTGTATGCATCATACAAGACTAACATTATACATACATGTAGACATTTGATAGCTATGCTATTTATTGATTTATTATTATTTTTATACAGTTTTATCCTTTTGTAGTGTAAATAGCAATTTAATAGTAACAACTGTTCATGGCTTTATTAATTGCATAACAAAATGTTTTTGTTTGTTCAAAAAAGGCATCTCCTGGACACTGCTAGAGCATGGACCTGAGTGGTATGAGGTTGAGTGCTCCCTGAGGTATGTCTCCACCAAGCTGACACAGGTTGGCATCAGTGAAACAGCTGTTTGAATAAATCACTTGGGTCAAAACTTAACACATCAAAACAGATTGAACAGTGGAACACAATGTCGACACCTGCAGCTGTGCGCTGAGCAGAAATGCTCACACATTTTAAACAAAGTAATTTTCCATTCAAAAATATTTTTATCAGCTGCCAGTTTGCCACGTGCCTTCCTGGCACAAATGCCCCTGTCAAGCGTCTTTTTTCAATAATGAACAATACTTGGAGAGGTGAGAGAAACCCTATGGGACTGGACACTTTGAAAGCACTGCTCATTACTCAGGTGAACTTTCAGTACAGTTCAGTGACAACCATAGCCTCTTGAGAACGGTACACTCAAGCAAGAAATACTACAATCAGTAAGACAGTTTAGAGTTATGCATTAATGCACTTATTTTGTTTGTGAAATAAGTTTTAATGTTTCAAAAAAATTAATTGTTTAAATGCTGTACATCCTTTGATTGTTTTTGGACCCCCATTTTGACCACAATCAATTTCATTTCCATTGGTTTCTGGTTAAAATTTGTCATGTAATAGATTTTTTGTGATAGTAAAATGTCCCAGTT